TCATCGCTGTAGGCACTTTGGGAGGCGACGCAGGTGTGATTGGCTCCTGAGCTCAGGAGTTCCAGACCAGCCTGGGCAACATGGTGAAACCCGGCTCTACTAAAATACAAAAGAAATTAGCTGGGCATGGCAAGCGTGGTCCTGTGGTCCAAACTACTCAGGAGGCTGAGGCGGGAGAATTGCTTGAACTCAGGAGGTGGAGGTTGTGGTGAGCCGAGGATGGCATCACTGCGCTCCAGCACTCCAGCCTGGGTGATAGAGTGAGACTCCATCTCTATAAATAAATTAAATTAGTTAAATAAATAGTAGAGGGAAAACCCCAAATGAGAGTCCTGTTTGGCTGATGGAATCTTGCTGAGATTTCTTGATGACTTTTTGCCAGTTCTTAGAATTTTGATAGCTTTCTTTGTTCTATTTGGATCTTCTGTCTTTTCCAGTTCCAAATTCTCCACGTCTTGGGCCCTAAGGTAGAAACTGTTGCACAACTATTACATTGCCAATGATGATGCATTTGGGAAACTCTCAGCTCTCAGCCAATTGTCCAACGGTGGCAGAAAATCCATGTTTGGACCCATTATCAATGTGACTAGAACAGAGGAGCATTTGCCAGATGTCCCTCTGTGAAATTTAAAGCTGTGCCAATACTGCAACGCTGGTAGAAAGGGGACATCTAAAAAGCAGTACCTTCACAGAGGGACATATGCACAGAGGGACATGTATTCCTTGAATTAACACAAAACCTCTCGAAGTTGTGCCAATTAGGATAATCAACTAGAAAACTGAAATATCTCTTTTTTTTCTTTTTTTTTGAGATGGCAGTCTTGCTCTGCTGCCCATGGCTGGAGTGCAGTGGCGCAATCTCGGCTCACTGCAACTCCGCCTCCCGGGGTTTACTGACAGGCGTGAGCCACCGCGCCCGGCCCTACTATTTATATTTAAGAATATGTATTGTTTAATATGCACCAGCATTAATCTAGACATTCAGGATTCAAAAATAAACTAAATGGAATGTCCCTGCTCTATTGTAGCTTACATTCTAGAGAAATTTTTATTACAGAATTTATAACAAAAGAACAGTTACCTACAGAAATATTTTAATATGTGTTGAAAAGTTATCAAAAAGGAAAAAATCATTAGAGTATAATTAATCATCACTTTACATAATATTGCATCAGATAACGATGAAATCTACAGAATGATGCTCTTCTAATTAGTTCACTATGCAATTAAAACAAAACAGCATTTCAGTTACAAGACTGAGAAGGAAACTAATTTAGTTCCTTGACCTCAAAAACCAGCCGCAAATCATCATACTCTAAATTACTGCCTCTTTAACCGCTTGGCTTTCTTCCCTGACAAACCTGTTCTGCACTGCACATCCTTAATTAATATTGTCACTGAACTACTTTGTTCCTATGGTCTGAAGTCCTCCTACCTCAAAATTCATATGTTTGAATCCTAATCCCTGTGGTGATAGTATTAAGAGGTGGAGCCCTTGAAAGTGATTAGGTTAAGGAGGTGAGACCCTTGTAAACAGGGTCAGTGCCCATGTAAAAGAGGCCTGAGAGAGACAGAGACCCCTCAACCCTCCACAAGACCCAGGAAGCAGACTCTCACCAGACACTGAATCTGCTGGCACCTTAATTGTGGCACTTTCCAGTCTCCAGAGCTATAAGGAAAAATTTCTGTTGTTTCTAAGCCAACCAGTTTATGGCAGTTTGTTACAGCAACCCCAGTGGACGAATCCACTCATCCAGAAATCAGAGTCAGCCTCAAGACTACATCAACCCTGTCATAATAGAGTGTGCTAGATAATTTTAAAGTTCTCGTCCTACTTTCTACTGACTTTTAAAACATAATCTCGAAGAAAAAATGTGTCTGGCTTCCAGTTGCCTTACAGGTAAACTGTTGAAAGAGGACACTTTCAAAGTTAGAGTTTACTATTTTTTATAGAATTCTCTATTAAATAAAATTTAAAATTGATTGTTTCAGGATTCTGATGACTAATAATAACACACTAAGGGATACTTACTTGAACGACTCTGTACTTTTGCCATTAAAGTAGAGTTGAGTAGTTCGATAAAGACAGATTCGGACCTTTCTGGCTCATCATCATCCAAAATTGAAATAGCTATTGTTGCCTCACTCTGATTAGCTCGAAAAAGAGCAAATCCAGAAGCTGGTATATAGTCTCTTCCTTGAGTTGCTCTCGCTAAATTAGGTGGAAAATAAGGTGGTTTTTCCATATCATCTAGTGTTGCATATGAGACAAGGACTTTTCCCATGAGGCCTTTCAACCTTATTATTGATAGTGTGATGTTCTGGGTTGCTTCCTCGACTTTAACAGGTCTGTTTTTCTCAGAAAAAATGAATACCCCATGTGGATCATCACTAGCCAAAACTGTTAATGTGGCATTAACATGAGCTCCCAAAGAACCACTGGAAACACTGAGGATTGACACAGAGAATGCCTTATCCAGTTCTGGGTCTTCGTCAGGCAATATCTCCACAGTGATATTGGCGCTGGTCTGCCCAATCTCAAATGTGATGTTGCCAGAGGTGAAGGCAAGATCACCATCAGGATCAGAGTCTATGTTCCAATGCAAAGTCACTGGAGACAGAGTTCCATGATGTCTTATAACCTACAAAATATTTAATATTAAAATCTATTAAAAGAGAGATTAAAGCCAGTTACTTAGAGGCTTACAAATACACTAATGATAGCAGCACAATTTTATTTTATATAAGTTCTTCTCCAGACTACAAGACTGCTGCAGGCAGGGGTCATATACTATTCATCTTTTAAGGCCCACAGAGAGTCTTATAAATGGAGGATATTTAAAAAGTGACTGTGCCGAGTGCAGTGGCACATGCCTATAGTCCCAATTATTCAGGAGACAGAGACAGGAGGGTTACTGAAGCCCAGGACTTCAAGGTTACAGTCAGCTATGATGGTGCCACCACACTTCAGTCTGGAAAACACAGCAAGACTCTATCTCTTAAAAAAAAATAAATAAAAAACAGTTGAAATAAAAATTTCAAAGCGATTGTTGCGTGAAAGTATACATTAACGAAAAAATGTAGCTTCTATTCAAATTATAACTATCTTTTGTGTATCTTTTATTTTATCCCCAACAAATCAAATGTGATTAACAATGAATTACATTTAGGCACACTCATAAAAGTTTTCACAATCGCTGCAAAAATGGTATCTATTTCATTGCAAGTTATATATAAATGGTGTTTTCTGAAAAGTGAGCTGTAAAACTCATTTTAAAACAAATCACATTTACTTTTATCTTCAATATATTATGCAAACAAACTCACCAAAAAACATATTTGACCAAAAGTATAAGAAAATACATTTAAGAAGGAAGATATGCTTCTGTCAATAATATGTTAACAATGAAAAGCCTAAAAATTTATATGTTAACAATGAAAAGCTTAAAAATGTATCCAAGTAAATCCCAACTAAGAGTAATTTTTATTTGTTCTTGAAATATGATGGTTACATCAAAATGAAATTAGAGACAGTAATTTTATAAAAGTTGATCCTTTCCCTTAAGGTTTTTTTTTAATCTTTCCTGAGTCATTAGTTATCCTTTCTAAGGTTGTTCAATTTATCGCACCATAGTTTATTGAAAATCTGCCATAGTAGTACAGAAGGGTATGTTTGAGTGATATTTCTTCATTATTCATATGGAAGCTGAGCAAGTAGCTAGTCGCTGTGAGTCACTGAACAACGAATCCTTCTTAATTTCTACTGGAACAAAGCAGAGTAGCCATTCAAACACACACATATATCATATAGAGTTATTATTATTGCCAGTTCACCCATGTTTTAGATTGTCTTTCCTTATGGGAGAGAGACAGGATAGGACTGCACTTCATCCACTGACATTAGGCACAGCCAGGAGACCTGCTTTGACCAAGGAAGTTAAGTAAAAATGACATAAATCACTTCCAGAAAGAAGCTATAAGAGCTGGTATGCTGTTCTTCACATCCACATTTCCCTCCACCAAGAAGATAAAAGCACCTGCTGAGATATAGCCGTGGTACCTAAAGTGTCTAATAATCAGAGCCCCTTGCTAACTTAAGTTGGACATATACATACTGTGAATGAAAAACAAATCTTTTCTAGCACTTTGAGAGGCCAAGGTGAGTGGATCACCTGAGGTTGGGAGTTTTAGACCAGCATGACCAACATGGAGAAACCCTGTCTCTACTAAAAATACAAAATCAGCCAGGCGTGGTGGTGCATGCCTGTAATCCCTGCTACTTGGGAGGCTAAGGCAGGAGAATCGCTTGAACCCAGGAGGTGCAGGTTGTGGTGAGCTGAGATCGCGCCATTGCACTCCACTGGGCAACAAGAGTGAAACTCCGTCTCCAAAAAAGAAAAAAAAAAAAAGAAAGAAAAACAAAAACAAATCTTTCTTGTATCAGCCATTGATATTTTACAGATGTTTGTTACCACAGCCCATCTGAACAAACACAAAAATCTATGTAAGATAAATACTTGTAGTACAGCTCCATTATATTCCTTAAAGGGTCAAGGATCCTCAGAATTAAACAATGACTCCATGTGCAACACTAAAGACAAAAATAAATGCCAAATCACTGTTCGATCACCAATTTGTATTGCCTGTGCCAACAGGCTCATTCCCCTCGGCCTACACAAAAAAAGGAAAACATAAAACACACTTTCATAACATAGTACAGTTTTTAAAACAACAGAAAATATCTAGGAATGAAGGAAGAAAAGGTACTCACGTTTAATATAACAGTGCTATACCCATCTTCTGGTTCAGTTCCACTGACAAAGAGTGACTCAGGGCTAAATTCAAATACGCCATGAGCATGGTCAGAGGCTGCAATTGTCACTAGAATTTGGGAAGCCACTCCTCGACTGGCTGCATGAACAAGTTCCAACAAATAGAAAAAAAAAAAATGTTAATGAGTAATTTACAAACCAAAGGAAAAGCCAAGGAACAACTTTTTGAAAAGAGTCCGTACATTCATTGAGTACATTCTAATTTGTTTTAGAAAGAAAGGCAGACACAAATGGGTGCCACACATATTCATGCTTTTATGACCTTTCTCTACTTTGGCACCAACGTGATGTACAAGTGCTGCATAAGCACTTGGAGATGAATAAGGAAAACTTGTTTTTCTTTTTCTTCTCTATGAAAGAGAACATTCTTCCACACTGAGTATATGAGGAAGGTCTCCCACGACCTTTGCTGACCTCAAAAGAACTTGAGCCAAAATGACTCTTACCTTCATGAAATAATAAGTAGTTTCCCTATGATTTTAGTCATTCTGGCTGAACAGATTCTTGGTTTCCAATGTGCATGAATTCTAGGCCTATTTTTTCATCATGGGATGATGCTATAAATCTCTCTCTCCTGATCCTAAATAGTCCCATTATGCAGCTAAAAAGATGCCAAGATCTAAAGCAGCATTTAATTTTTTCCTAAAAAGACTGTTCAAATTTTATGTTGCATTAATGTCTGCAGACTAGAAAATGAACAATTCTAAAAGTAATAGAGTAATTAACTACAGAGGTTGCATTAGGCATTGATGGAAGATAGGAATGAAGGGGGTGAAATCATTGAGTTCTGACACTAAAATATAAAATCTGACATTGTGAAAAAAGAAGGATTTGAGGATTAGAAAATGCTCTTCTTCAAGAAACAAATATTCTAAGTATGCTTTTCACATATGAAAAAATATTTGAGGTAAAAAGCTGAATCATGTTTGTATATAAATCTACTTCAAAAGGCATCCTCTTTTCAATATCACCCTCATTAATTGCCAACTATCCTTCCATTTATTTTCTTCCTAATTTCTTTTTCCCATTTGTTTTTTTCTTTCTTTTTTTTTTCTTTGAGAACAGAGTCTTGCTCTGCCACCCAGCCTGGAGTGCAGTGATGCAATCTTGGTTCACTCAACCTCCGCCTCCTGGGTTCCAGAGATTCTTTTGCCTCAGCCTCCCGAATAACTGGTATTACAGGTACATGCCACCACACCTGGCTAATTTTTGTATTTTTAGTAGAAACAGGGTTTCATTATGTTGGTCAGGCTGGTCTTGAACTCCTGAGCTCAGGAGATCAGCCCGCCTTGGCCTCCCAAAGTGCTGGGATTACTCCCCATTTGTTTTGATTAAATTTTACATATAACAATTCATAGTTCTTTTTGTACAGAGAATAAGTGTGATGTATTTAAAATGAAAATACAAATTTTCTATTGACCTCTTTTTAGGTATTTGACGCTATGTAAAATGTTTCCAAACAATCATTTTTACCAATGACATTCAAGTGAAATTTCCATCACAATTAGAATCAGGAAACTGCATTACGTTCATACAGGAAGGAGAGTCTGGGTTTTGGAAGCAGACAAGGATGTGATTCTGACTTGATCCCTTTCTAGCTGGGTGACTACAACATGAAGTAAATTATACTTCATAAGTTGCTGTGACAGTTAATGAGACAAAATATGTAAAGGACCTACACATAGTAGGTGTCAATAAGTGGTCAGTATTGTCTCTAAAACGAGAAGTTAAAATAAAAACGTATAATAGAAAAGGACCTTAGAAAAGCTGCTTACCATGTTTGTGAATAGTTGGAAGGAGGAATTCCATGTCCCCATCACCACTACCACTTCCATCAACCCTAAAGAGTTCAGCTACTTCACAAGGAGACACAGAGACACAACCCACACAACACACATTGACACAATGAGAAAATTGAGAGGTCTTAAAACATATCAAGCAAAGAGGAAAATGCAGTAGTATTAACCCAATAACACGCTTTCTTCCACAGGAAACGGATCATTTTAAATAGCAAAATTATAGCACCAGTCAAGCTATCAAATTATCAAAATTTCATTCACAGTTTCATGAAATACTCCATGTAGACTGTAATTGTTACTTCCCATTTCTGCCAATCTAGTATTATTTTTAAATTTTCACTTTTTTTGCAGCAATGTAAATTATTTTCTAATATCTTAGATATTTAAAATATATTTATCTGATTATGTAATCATACGCTTAGGCCTAATATGCCTATGATAACCACCTCACCATTTGCAACAACCAGTTCAATATTGGGAAATGCATCTAGCCTTTCCTTCTATCCACACATTCAAATCCCCACCACAATTATTTACCATTCTCAAACTTGATCACCCTCTGGCCACCGGCACTGTGGAAAGAGTCCTAGACAAGCCATCTAAAAATTCTGCTTTCCTGGTTGTGAAAGATGCCAGCTGTAAAAATTTCAGCAAGTCACAAAACTTCTTGGTATCTCAGTCTCCTCACCCATGAAAGGTGCTGTCTTTTATAGATATGTTGTTGCTATGGTTTGAATGTGTTCCCCAAAGTTCACATGTTGGAAATTTAATCATAAATGCAACCATGTTGAGAATTGGGAACTTTAAGGGGTGATCAGGTCATGACACCTCTGCCCTCATGAATAAATTAATGTTGCTATCCCAGGAGTGGGTTCATTATTGCAAGGATGGATTTCTTGTAAAAGCAAGTTCAGCCTTCTCTTGCCCTCTCATATGCATTCTCTGACCATGTGGAGCCTTCCACTACATTATGATGTATCAAGAATGCCCTACAAGATGCAGTCCCCCAATATTGGACTTTCCAGGCTCGAGAACCACGAGCCATGTAAACTTCTATTGCTTATACATTGCCCAGTCTGTGGTATTGTGTTACAACAGCATGAAATGGACTAAAGAGTTGTAAAGATCAAATAAAATAATGGAAAATAAATAACATTATAAAAATATAAAATATAAAGTACTTTGGCAATAATAAAGAGAAAATGGTTATACCTTCCCCTCTAATACATCTTGTACCCCAGCCATTATTTTACCAAATGTTTGCAAACAAAGAAGACAGGAAGGGCAGTGATGATAACAATAGAAGAAAGGGAGAGTAAAAATAGCAAAGCCACATCCATACATATATGCTTCTACCAATATCCTTGATTGACATGCTAGTTTAAGATCTGCCCTCTCTTATCCTTTTGCCCTGTGTTTTTGCCTGTCAATAAGACTGGGATATACCAGACATGAGAATGTATGGCACGAGGAACCTGAAGTCATCACACAGATCCAAAAGGCAAAATGGATTTCCAGCAAATATCTGGTACATAGCTTTGCTCCCACATTATCCAGAAGTCATAAAAAAAGAAGTTCAACACCATATATACTTTGGCTAGCGTAAGATGTCTATTCAGGTTGTGGCTACCTTATGTAGAATCATCAGTTTCATCAGTTTTATAGTTAAAAAGCATGAAATAAGTCCTTGACTCTCCAAAGAATTTAGCTCTATAAGCTACTTGACATGTTACACAGTCCCTACATATGAGTCCAGGAGCAGAGATCATTGTATAAATTCCTTTTCCTCCAATCCCAACTCACTGAGGGATAAATCAGATCTCTGCCACTATTGCTTCCTACGAAACTGCAAGGTTGGTTTTCTAGTGAGTATTCAAGTCCAATTAATATATAACAATGCATATTCTAGAGATATGGGGAGAAGTTTCTCAATAATACAACAAGTATCACTATAAGTGGTCATATAATCACAAGTATTTGTATCATCTCAATAACATCTCATGTACAATTACTAATCAGTATTAGCTAATGGTGACTAACATTTTCTCTTTCTGTTACATAAGGATTTTTAGCTATAAGGGATACAAAGGGCAACTTTTCAAATATTTTATAGTAACCTTTTTAGTAATGCAAATAGTGATTTGGAGATGCAAGGACTTGTCTCTGGAAGACAAGAAAAGCTGGTATTTTTATATGCCACCTACTAGACAGCACATTTCTACTGTTTTATGCATTCAACCAAGCTCAACACTGCTTAACCATTTCCCTGCTCCCAAATACTGGCTTGGTCTCCTTGCTCTCACCTGAGATTTGGGAACACAGGAAAGAAAAATTTTTGCATATTTACCCCAAATACCGACTTTATATATAAAGACAATTTTAATATCTCAGTCATACCAATTTTTCCTTTGGATGGCTTATATACTATAGCTTTCTTCATCAAAATAATAAATAATAATAATGTGATAATGATACCAGGTTTTGTAATGAAAGGGACTGTTCTGATGAACACCATATCATCTCTCAATTTCTTGTACTTATAAAGGTAATACAATGCATATCGTACGTATTCCATAACACTCCCAGTAGCACCTGATAAACACATTAACACTTTTGCAAAGAAGTATTGCATCTAATTGGGATACATATTATCAATAGCCTCACTTAGTACAGATGAGTTTTGTCATGAAATAAGTTTGATTCCAATAACCCTTGATAATCAGAGCTTTCTGAAAAGCAGAACTGAAGTTAAGGCATTGTTGACTTCTTTTATTAATAATCAACCGATAATAGATCATCCAAAAGGACTAGATTTTACAGTGTTATATCTGTAGATTGACCTAGCAGAGCTATAGCAAAAAACGGAAAAGAGAGAGATGATCTTACGGGAACCTACCATGAATGAAACCTGTAATTTGGTGACTTAGTACACTTACACGTTTCATTCTAAAAGTATATCTCTTCTAGTAAAATATCAGTGGGTAATAATAAGCGGGGAAAAAACACAGCACAAACACGCTGTCCATATAATAAACAGAGATATTACTCAGAATTAACCAAACTTCATAGCGAAAGTATATCAATGTGAAACTATGGGTTGAATATTAATTTATAAGACTAATACTAAAAGTGTATGTAAACAGGAGGATTTTCTTTTTACCAAGAAAGGAATTATCAATCAAAAATGATTCATATAGATTATATTACCACATATATTGTGGTATACATTATCATGTATCTTAAGCAATTATTAACTTTCAGGCTGCCTTCTCCAAAAACTAATAATTTATTCATTTATTTAAGGAAGATTAATTCAAAGGAACATACTTCCCTAAAGGAATCTACTGTCATCAGCATGGGGAGACAAGCAAATATTTAGTATTTTTGCATCACCAGCCTTACCTCCTCCTTCCAAATTTAACAACTCAACTTTAAAAGATTTTTCCAGTTCAGGAATAGAATTATCAGTGATGTTTACAGAAATGTATTTATATCTTTCTCCTGGCTGAAATTCTAATGTGCCAGCAACATTCTGAAATATAAAAGATTGATCCGTTAGATTACAATCATTCTGTATACGAATAGATTACCTTCATTCTGTATACGAATTTGTAAAATCAGAATGTTTGTTATATCCCAAATTATTATAAATACTAAGAAGACAAGTAAAACACAAAATTGAAAACACTTCAGTGTGTATGGTGTTCAACGTAAATTCTAAATAAATATTCTCCAATTAGATAAAGTAGATTATTTCTTTTTTTCTTTCTCTTTTTTACTTTATTTTATTTTTTAGAGACAGAGTCTCACAATGTCACCAACGCTGGAGCTCAGTGATGGGATCATAGCTCACTGCAGCCTTGAACTCCTAGGCTCAAGCAATCCTCCTACCTCAGCCGCCAGAGTAGCTAGGACAACAGGTATGCACCACCACACCCAGCTAATTTTTTTTTTTTCTGTTTTTGTAGAGAAAGTGACTTGCTACGTTGCCCACGCTGGTCAACAACTCTTGGGCTCAAGCAATCCTCTCACCTTGGCCTCGCAAAGCGCTAGGATTACAGGCATGAGTCACCATGTTCCAGGTACAGTGTAAATCCTTTCCAGAGAAGGATTATGTCTGTTTTACAAGTGCAAATACAACTTCAAAAGGACTCAGTGAATTACCTGGTAATCCTCAGGACTGAATGCTGTCAAGGACACTGTTCTAAATTCCGCAGTCACCCTTCCCAGAAGTCCCTGTGCACGGATGACCAATAACTTGATTTCTCCATCTTCCTCCTGCACAGTGATATGTGGAACACTGCTTGCAGGCAGGGTCATTGTGTCCTCAGGCTGAGGAGGCAGCCCTGTGGAGAACTGCAGCAAGCCTAGTGGAGACAAAGGGGCCAGGGCATTCTCCCAATGAATTGTGCAAGAATTTCTTATTCAATTAAAGCGATCTTACACAATTATTTTGATCACCAGGCCAAAAATCTGAGGGCCTTTATTTAGAAAATATTTTAGCAAAGATTTAACTAACATGCTTTTGACACCGAATATATTTATAAGCTTTCAGAATAATGAAAGTTAAATTGTTAATTTTCCATGTCTCTACTCAAAGAAAGCTTTTCTTCCCACAGCAGCATCAATAGCAGGAACATTGATAGCATTTTAAAATGTATATTTTCTAACTTTTACTCATATTTTATTCGAATCTCCAGAAATCATTCTAGAACAAACAGGTTAAGTGGCACCTTAAAGGAGTTGCAACACTTAAAAACAAACAAATCAACAAACAAATAAAACCTAACTATGAAAACTAAAGGTGAAGAGTCTCTCAAGATTTCTACCCAAACCTTTTAACAGATGTTCTTGATTCATTCCTGTAGAAGAAATACTATTTTTCAATGCAGAAAACATTCTCAATTTACTAGGACAGACATCTGTGATAGTTCCCCAGTAGAAAAAAATTGTCACTATTTAGTATAAGACAAAAAGAAATTAAAGAGTGATAGCTTCACTTCTTGAAGCTTAATAAAATATAAATTACAAAGTTTTTCACTTACGTGTTAACAAATCACCATAGGATAATTAATAAAGAAATGTGATAGCTATGAACAGAAATAATTTGTTCCATTTTAATAATTGGGCAAAAACTTTTCAAAATACACTATTGAAGTATGGAAACTGATCTTTATATTTTCTCTCATAAACAATGTCCCTCAAAATGGCAGCATACAAGTTAAAGAGTTTAGAAATCAGGAGGTCGAAGGCATTCTACTTCTATCATTTGCAAAAAGTGCCTTAAGAAGTTCTTAGCAAAACTAAGTACACCCAGAGAAGAGAAGATTTTTCTTGCAAAAGGAGCAGGTTACCATATGGATGATCACTAGCTTTGATGGTGATATCGGTCGTTTCCTTTTCAGGATCTATGCTTGCACCACTGGTAGGAGTTGAGCCTAGCTTCCCATCTCCAGGAATTGCAGAAACCAACGTCACACGGAAATACTCATTAAGTTCAGGAATATCATCATCAAGGACATATATATTCAGAACCTACAAATATAAATATCCAGAGGCACTAAGCAATGAGGCATTTAGAAATTACTTACCAGAAGAAAATTCAAAAGGCAACTAAATTATATTTAAATGAAGTTAACCACTTAAGACTTATTTCTGCATAAATTTAAACATTAAAACATTGTATGTGTGTGTGCATATGTGTGTATACAAACATATACAGAGAAAGAGAAGTCTGAATAGATTAATTCCTTTAAAATAATGGGTGCTGCTATAGTCTGAATGTCTTGTCCTCCCGTCCCCCAAATTCCCATGTTAAAATCTAATCCCCTAAGTAGTGTTATTAAAAGGTGGGGTTTTCAGGAGGTGTTGAGGGCTTGAGGATAGAGCCCTCATGAACGGAATTAGTGTTGAGGGAGCTTGTTCGTCCCTTCCACCATGAGGAGGGCATATTGAGAAGGCACCATATCTTTGAAGCAGAGTAAGCCCTCACCAGACACAGAATCTACAGGCACCCTGCTCTCAGACTTCCCAGTCTCCAAAACTGTGAGCAGTAACTTTTTGTTCTTTATAAGTTACTCAGTCTAAGGTATGTTGTTATAACAGTCCCAACAGACTAAGGCAGGTGCTGAGCAGTAGCATTTTCTGACAGTAGCCTATACATGCATCAATATCACATCATATATGATATGTTGATTTACCAATATAATATCATATATTTTTTGTACCAAAGACCATGGTATTACCAACATCAGGTAGAGACTTCCCAATTAAGAAACTGCAAGTTCTATGATGAGATGTGATAGGATAAGAAGCAAGGGCAATGTACCTGTGTCTAGTGTCTGCCTAAGGAGCGCCTGACGTGCTCAGGAGCAGTATTTTAGAAAGTAGATTCATAATAGGCCTTAGGAGTCCAGCACAAGCAATTAATCCAAAAAAGGTTATAAAAGGAATAGGAGTAACTCAGCTATGCTCTACAAAATTCAACTCAAAATTTAAAGTGAAAAAAACAATTTCTCCTTTCTTTATTAATCAAACAAACATGTTTCGACATATGCAGTATGCTGGGGTTAGACCCCAGTCCTGATGTATCACAGGAGACAGGTCTATAGGAAATCACTTAAAACCCAATGCAAAAATATCATGATAGAGTTCTGTACAAAATAAAGTGATGAAGAAACTAATTCTACCTGGTAAGGTTTTACAGCAGATGTGTTTGAAGCAAATTCTGATTGATCATTTACAGTTGTAAATAATAATGGGAAAGGACACTCCAAACAAAAGACACAATACTGACAAAGGCAAGGAGACATGAAAGAACACGGCATCTGCAATCAGATCACCAGTCAAGAGGAAAACATGAGGCTGAATGAATAATCAGGAGCCAAATCATAGGGATCTTTTATGCTATCATAAAACACTTGGACTTCATTCCATAGAAAGTGGAGATAAATTGAAGAATCATAAGCAGAGGACTGACCAAATTAGCATTCTGCTTTAGAATAAGTACCATGGCAGAATAAACATAGTGCACAAAACAAAAAAGGATGCAAGAGGATAAGTTAGGAGGTGACTGACCAGAAATGATGAAATTCTGAACTAATACAGTAACAAAAGAGATGTGGAAAAATTGTTAGATTTGAAATTTGTCTAGAGAGAGAAGATGCAGGCCTGATGAGGCACTTAACATGGAGAGTAAGAAATAGAGAGGCTATGTAAGTAAGAATGGTGACTTCCTGGTTTCTCCCAGAAAAGAGTGACAACTGTCTGAAAACAAACTCTAAATCCAAATATAGTCTCCAGAATACTAATCATTGGTCCTGAAAACACCTGGAGAGCTTTTTTTTTTTTTTAATGTTCTTTTTCTAGAGATTTTGGTTCACTAGATCTGAGTTCAAACTTAAATTTGGCTTTTAATGTACATTTTAATCGCATTTTAAATTAAGGAGTAATACATGACACATGTGCTCAGAGAAGCGCAAAAATAACATGTACTACCTAAATCATAGAATTCATGAACTAAGGGAAAAAGAAATTTTTAACTTAGGTAATCAAATATATATGAGACAAGGTCTGGCTCTGTTTCCCAGGTTGGAGCGCACTGGTGTGATCACAGCTCACTGCAGCCTCAACCTCCCAGGACCAAGTTATCCTTCCACCTCAGCCCCCAAGTAGTTTACGCTACAGGTGCACACCACCATGTCCAGTCAAAATACTTTATATGATACTCGACAGGAACATTTAGAACTGTTTTAATTACTAAATTTGATTAACTCTTATCTCTTTCAAAATGTATATAAATTTAATTTATAAAACAATGGTAAAGTACTAGTAAAACCTTTATCATGGGCCTGTCCGCAGACTAGTAGCAAGGAACTTTTGCTGTTACACTATTTAATTTGCTTCCTTATTCCACCAAATTATAGAAATTTGGTCACTTTTCCTTAGCTTTTATTCTTTATTTTATTTTATTTTATTTTATTTTTGAGACGGAGTCTCACTCTGCCGCCCAGGCTGGAGTGCAGTGGCCAGATCTCAGCTCACTGCAAGCTCCGCCTCCCGGGTTTACGCCATTCTCCTGCCTCAGCCTCCCGAGTAGCTGGGACTACAGGCGCCCCCCACCTCGCCCGGCTAGTTTTTTGTATTTTTTAGTAGAGACGGGGTTTCACCATATTAGCCAGGATGGTCTCGATCTCCTGACCTCGTGATCCACCCGTCTCGGCCTCCCAAAGTGCTGGGATTACAGGCTTGAGCCACCGAGCCCGGCCGCTTTTATTCTTTAGATCTTAACATTTTAAACTTTCCCTCAATTTTTTTTAATCCAACTAACTTCTAAATCCCTCAAAAGTGTCCTCAAAAATTACTTATTATTTACAAACCTTAACTTAGTTTGCTATGTATCCCTGATGACTTATGAGAGATTTATATTTTAATGTAAAAATTATATTGACATGCATATTCCAACATGATCAATACTTAAATATTCTGATACAGGAGAAAGCCTCATCCCAATCTCACTTATAAAAAGTATCATTTATTTATGGAGTATATATTCAGACATGTGACTCTTGTTCATGGAAAGTTTTTTTATGAAACTGAGGTCACCTTTACTCTTGAAATATATATTTAAAAAACCCTCATCTCTCCAAGTTTAATGCAAATAAAACGAGATTACAGTTATAAGAATTTCTCACTGGCTGATTAGAAGACTACCATTAGGAATTCTGGGCTGGGCGTGGTGGCTCACACCCGTAATCCCAGCACTTTGGGAGGCCGAGGCGGGCGGATCACTTGAGGTCGGGAGTTTGAGACCAGCCTGAGAAACATGGAGAAACCCCATCTCTACTGAAAATACAAAATTAGCCAGACATGGTGGCGCATGCCTGTAATCCCAGCTACTTGGGAGGCTGAGGCAAGAGAATCACTTGAACCCGGGAGGCGGAGGTTGCAGTGAGCCGAGATCATGCCATTGCACAACAAGAGTGAAACTCTGTCTCAAAAAAAAACAAAAAAAGAATTCCTGTGATTTCCCATCATTCTCAGCAAAATATCACAAGGACAGAAAGCCAAACACTGCATGTTGTCACTCACAAATGGGAGTTTAACAATGAAAACACATGGACACAGGGAGGGGAACATCACACACTGGGGCCTGTTGTAGGATAGCGTTAGGAGAAATACCTAATATGAATGACGAGTTGATGGGTGCGGCAAACCAACATGACACATGTATACATATGTAACAAACCTCCACGTTGTGCACATGTACCCTAGAACTTAAAGTATAATAATAATAATAAAAGAATTCTGTGGGTTCCCAGTGCATCAGTAATAACAAAAAATCCATAGAAATACATCTTTCAGTTATACGATTTTTATTATATTGGGATTCATAAACAAAACAGAAACACACATTATTCAAAATTATTAATTTTTCTTTCGCATAAATACAAAAATATTTTATACCATGATGTATACCTAACAATCTAAATATTTTAAATTGCTTACACAACAAGAAGCTACAAAGAAATTACAGAACAAACATGTCAGGGAAAGCTTTCCAGGAGGCTTTCAAAGGAACAAAAAAGGTAGGGTTTACCTCTGATCTCTGCCAAGGAAGGAATGTGATAGTTCCACTGGCATTAGCAAAGTCATCAACAAGGTAATTAATGCCATCAGTTTCAATCTGTGAGATGGTGTAAAATACATGCACATAATCCAGAGCTCCTCTGGTTCTCTCAACCACACAAGAAATGGTTGATCCCTCCTCTGCAATCTGAAATGTAAATTATTAATAAGTGCATAGCAATTCAAATCAGTGACAAAATTACAATGCTTTAATGAAATCCTTTTACCATAAACTTAATTCTACAACTTTCTACCTCTCTAAAAGGGACTAAAGAGGCCTGTGCATTCCCCCAGATAAACTTTGACTGCTAAGACATATTACAATCATTCATTTTCTCCCATTCCTTTATAGAGATAAAGGAAAAAGAATTATAATCTCTGAACTGCACAAGTAATTCATTCGTTGATGTCTCTGTGTTCCAACCGCCGTGCCATATGGTATGGTTGCAAAATATTTTTTAATGTGTAGTCCTTTCTCTGGATAAGTATAATTCTAAACAGAAAGACAAACTTGCAGTTTTATAATGGGCTCAGCACAGACAGACCAAATAAGGGTGGGGGTTCGGGGTAGGGGGAGGAACATGACATCAGGGAGAACTTTCTACGCACAGACATAAGAAGCAATATAGTATATTTGGTGGTATCATTTTGGCAGGGGTGCATGAAGTGCCAAATGGGGAGAGCCTTGAGAAGTGCCTAGTATGGGAACAACAGTCAGATCAAAGAAGGTATCTTATGCCATGCTTAATATATTTGTTGGTGTTTTTACCATATAAACCTAGAGGTGTTTTTTTCAAGTGGAAAATTTTTTATCTAAACACTTAAGATAATTCTTAAAAACTCTATGGTGGAAGCAGTTGGAATATCATTTAGAGTAAGGCCTTCCTACTGTCAAATCCTCAGCTTCTCAATTCAATTTTATTTTTATGTTAGCAAATATATAATTTGGAGAAAAAAGAACCAAAAATGAATACAGATAAAAATACAAGTTTTAATATATAGAATGTCATTCTGTATTTTTCATATGAACCATAAGCATCTCTGATCAGCATAAGATAGAGCCATTTTGGTGCTGACATTTTGGAGGGGGCAGATTTGGGATTTGTCTACAAATGACAATAGCCGAAAGTTATCAATGAATGTGGAGTCACCAGGAGACGTTCCAGCAAATCCTCTGAGTTTCACTGAGCAGCACAGCAACCCAGGTGTTCTCATGGTAAAGAGGATCAAGTACACCTGGGGCAACATTCTAACTCTTTTATTTGCCTGCTGGTCCATGGGCATGAGAGGCCCAAAACAAGCAGGTGATAGGTCAGTGGTGCCCTCAGGTGTCTCCTAGCAGGCACATTCTTCCCCCAGCCCCACTGCCAGAGCCAGAACTTCTAATCCAGTGGAGCCTAAAGTGTGAAACAAATTCAGGCAGCAGGTCACTAAAAGTAGTAGAGACAGGGGTCAGTCTCACTTCTACCTCCTGTTTCCTGAGCCTGTGTATTCTAGTTATTGGGGACACAGAAACAGATACCAGTCACTGAATGCACATACTGCATCCTGGAGGACAATACTTCAACCTTCCAAGAAGCTGTCCTTAAGCCAGCACCATGGCTAGGTCTTCAGTAGGCCATTCAATTGTATGAGGCCAGTTACTTCTGGTAACGTGGTATATGGTGAGGCCAGTGAATCAGTCCTATGACTATGTACCCATTGCTACACCTCCTTCATATTAGTCCTTTTGAGGCCATGTGATGCAGGTCTCCATGTGGTTAAAGCTGGTATTCTTTATGCCTTCAGATGATGGTGCTTGTATTAGGATGTATTAGGAGGCTAAAGTAAATACATTAGCTAAAGTATTAACTCCAGTAAGAATGAATTGTTGTTTCCTTTGAAGTGATAAAGTCTGGTTGGGATCAATGTACCAGTAAATGGTTTATTGAGAAGTGCTTAGCTTTGGTATCTGCTGTTCACTGTTTGGACATTCAGCAACCACCACTTGCTACATTAGTCTTGGTAAGAGGGAGCTCATGCTGTCAGACCTATGCATAACCTCCATCCCTGCCATCATGCTGTTAATGGCACTGTGGTGACAAAGGAGAGTCTGGCCGATATGCAATGGTGCCTTACTCTGATTTCACGGTTGAGAACCTTTTGAGAAACACCCCCTCATATTCAGTGTTGACTCCTGGCAATCTATTCACATGACTCCTCCCCAAATATCTTTGTCTCTAGTCTTGATTCTTCCAAGCACCTGACCAATCAACTACACCACGAACACTGCTCAGGGTTGAATGTAGCTTCATACTTCAGGCCATTTCTCCAATCACAAAAGATGAATGGCTAAGTGGATGGTTTACGGCTCTGCCCTCTGACCTTAAGAAACACCTCTGATTAGAGCACTAGAGAGGCATCAGCTCACTTACAGCAAGTAGCAACATATGAAGCCCAGGCATCTGTGAAGTGGGCTTGACTTTCCTACTGTATGAGTCAGACACAGGTTTTGGGTAAGAACCAAAGGGCTTAAAATATGTCTAATTTGAAGTGTCTATGAAATAAACATACTAGAAATGCATCAAGTTGTAACTAAAGAAATGGGTCTGATATTTTAGAGAAAAGATGAGCTTGACATCATAAATTTGGAAGTTAACAATATATAAATGATATTTAAAGCTATATAAAATCGGTGGATAAATATATAATTATACAAATGGTATTTGAAAACCAGTTGCGAGAACAGGGGGAGTGTAGATGGAGAGGAGAAGAGGACCAACTACATTCAATTCTGCTATAACCCTTATATTGAAATCATGAAATTGTTCCAATGCAATTGATAATATATTAAGGAACAATTTGAAAACAGCTGCAACTTGCATTTGCTTGTAAGTGCTATTTCATCCATAAGAAACGTGATGGACACAGAAAATTGTGCCCACCTGAAACAAGCCACAAACCTCAAACACATACCTCCAACAACTACCAGCTACTCAGTTCAACATCTGTGTTACTAGCCACACTTAACCACATCTAGTGTTATAATTTTCCTCCAATTTTAGATAATGCTCATTCTATCATTTCACAATGACACACAAGCTGCACTCCTTCTGATGCCCACTTCTACAAATAAACTTAAAGTTTTTAAATTAACATGTCATATTTATTGTGTTTTATAAGTATTAAATACTTAGTGTGCACATTTTTATCAGGTCCCTATTTTTTTTGAGTGTCAATGACCAAGTTCTTGAGCAGTGTTTTCCTAACCCCATCTTTTCCATAAGTTCGGTGTTTCTCATTATGCATCTGGCAAAGTGTGATGATTTTTAAGAATCCATCCATCATGTCATGGCAGAACTGACTGTCCTGAAGGTGGGGCACTCCAACCTTAAGATGTTGGACAGAAGAGGAAGATGCAGCTTGAGACCCATGTGTCAATACAACATTAGATTTAATTTCCACTTAGGGATCTACGTCAGGATTTTCATGCTAGCAGAATGGTACATGAGCAAATGTGTGATGGAAAGAGTATGGCTTTAAGGTCAAACAGTCCTGAGCTTCCTCATTCTACCACTTATCAAGCATTCGCAGTCTCTTCTGAAAATGGAGATCATAACATCTCATGAGTTAAATTAATAAACCATTAATCTTAATACGTAAATATTAAATCTTTTCCCTTTTCAGCAAGAGGCAGGAGTTAAATAGATCCAAAGAGATACTAAGAAACGTATGATGGTTTCTTTTACAAGCTTAAACTTTTATCAAGTCAGTAAGCATTTCCAGATAGCATTTAGGACTAAGATGAGGATTTTGTTTGCAAAAGTTACAGGGAAAAGTTACCTAACTATACTTTTATTTACTAAAACCTTCATCAAAACCTACAGCTTCCTGAATATTTTCAGTTTTACAAAATCACTATTCATATCTAATAAAAGAATGTACAGTTATATGCTATATATCAACATTTTATAGAAAATTTAATGAAGTAATATTTTGTTCAATAAAGTAAACTTTTTAAGTTATAAAAGAGCTTTCTAATGTCAAGGGTCTATTAAAAAAACCACCAGGATTCTCAGTGCAAATTCACCTTTAATATTTCTGAATTTACAGAGAAATCACATAATGCCTGAGGTTTGCTTTAAAAAAAATACTTTAACCAGCCAGGCACGGTGGCTCACACCTGTAATCCCAGCACTTTGGGAGGCTGAGGCAGGCGGTCACGAGGTCAGGAGACCAAGACCATCCTGGCTAACACAGTGAAACTCCGTCTCTACTAAAAATACAAAAAATTAGCCAGGCGTGGTGGTGGGCGCCTGTAGTCCCAGCTACTCACGAGGCTGAGGCAGGAGAATGGCATGAATCTGGGAGGCGGAGCTTGCAGTGAGCTGAGATCCTGCCACTGTACTCCAGCCTAGGGGACAGGGACTCCATCTCAAGAAAAACAAAGTACTTTAACCAAAAATGATTAAACAACATTGACAAAAGGCTGATAATTATTGAAGCTAGTACACTGGGACTCATTCCTTTATCTTCTCTGTTTTTGTGTATACTCTATATATGAAAACTTTCATTTAAACAGATTTTCTAATTCAGCTTAAATTTCCCCTGTCCCCCAGCCAGAGACTGTGATCCAGGAATGGGGTCCTGAGTCAGGAATGATGTCCAGTAATAAGCATTAGGTATTTCTGACAAGGTCATCCAAGGGCAACACTTTTAGAAATACTGAACTCCAGTATGTAATTATTAATACAGAAACGCACAAGACATAGAAAATAAATATCTAAACCTTTTTTCTAATATTAAAATATTCATCTGATTGAGTTTAGAATTATGATACAAACAAACATTTAGGCCACTACAGGAAGGGGCCTAACATCCATAATAATCATCAAACTATCCCCACACAGTATCTCACTAGAAACAATAATACTCACTACTGTCTCCTCTTTTAAGTCAAGAATTTGCCAAATATTCAGATCATCAGAACAGTAATAATAAACAGAAACAGTAAGAAGAGTTTTTGAAATCTCTTTTCTTAGAAAAAGTATTCTGAACCATGAATCGGCCTTCTCTATTGCAATAGAAAATTAAAGCTACAAATCCAATTAATTTTTAATTTTGTTTCATGCATGGGTGATGATTGGTGATATCGGATTATACCAATATCACTTATATCCAAAGGAATCTATTCACATAGCATATGGTAGGCACTTAAAAACAAATACAGTCCAAGTCGAAATGATATTCTTATTTTCACAAGATCTTCCCAAAGTTTATAAATATAAAATATATTTTATATAAAATAAAGCCACAGTTTATAAATATAAAATATAATGCAAGTAAGAAGACTAGCAAGTTCTGTGAGTCACTATGAAAGCAACTTCATTAATTTATAATTATGTGGTATACAATTTGGCAAGACACGTAAAAACAGTGTTAAAATATGGTAGAGAGAAAATAATATAGGAAGTATACAGAATAACGAAATATGGGGAAGAAACATGAGAATGTGGTTAGTAGGCTATAGAACTAACAAAATCCATCTTCTGTTCAACACAGATCCCACTGGGAATCCAAAGCACTATCTGGCATGCCTCACCAGGACTCTAAACGGCTTCACAGGTTTTATTCATTCTTTTAATTATAGTTTATTAACCACCTGCTCTTTGCCAGGACATAGTGTACCTGGTTGGTAGAAAACAATTCACAGAATAATTACCTTCTCTTCCAATGTGCCAAATAGCAAGCTATGCCATAGTCTACATATTTTCACTATTTAAGATTTCACTATGCTACCATTTTAACCTTAATATTACTTTATGTCATATTAATCTACAGAAAAGGTAAAAGCATAACATAACTCAGAAGGCCTATTTTAAATTTTTAAAATTTTTATTTCAATTTAAAATAGACAAGGGTGTTTCACTATGTTGCCTAGGCTGTTCTCAAACTCCTAGGCTCAAGAGATCCTCCCACCTCAGCCTCCCAAAATGCTGGAATTACAGGCGTGAGCCACCGTGCCCAGCCCAGAGTCTTTACAGGTCTCTACTGCATTCAGAAATTTTGAAGGAATTTTTTTAAAAAGTTAAATTGTCAATGTCATTGCAACAACATAATAGAGAAGAATCTATGGAAGTGGCTGTAGTCTTTATTTCTAAAAATGAGGCAAGTGATCATAAAATTTAAACTCTGAAGATAGTTACAAGCACAGAGTAAACCAGCAGTTCTCAAATGTTTTAGTTTCAGGACTCCTGTACACATCAGAACTACTGAGAATCCCAGAGAGTTTTTTGTTGATGTCATTAAAATCTGCTGATATTTTCCATATTACAAATGAAAAACTAAAAAATTTAAATATTGATTGATAACTCATTTTAAGACAGCAATAAGTTATGCTCACATAAACAACATATTTTATGGGAAAGAACTACAGTGTTAGCCAGGATGGTCTCAATCTCCTGACCTCGTGATCCATCCTCCTCACCCTCCCAAAGTGCTGGGATTATAGGCGTGAGCCACCGCGCCCAGCCTGTCTGTTTCTATCTTTTACTCTGGTTAAAGGGTATAAAGAAAATCCAGCCTTATATATACATGTGTGTAACAGGAAAAGGAAGAGGATTTTACTAGTCTTTTCAGATAATTATGGGTATTTTTCCTTGATATTATACCAAAATCCAAAATTTGACAAGTGGCAGTTTCTTAGTTGCAGCATTTAGTTGCAACCTGGAAACATACTCTAGTACTTTAAAATCCACTGGTCTACCTTGTACTTGGAAACAGTCTTTTACTCAGGCATGATTTGCAACAATATGCACTGATTACTTAAAAAATATTAGTTACTGGTTATACAGATCTTCAAAATGTTGACACACATTATACAAAATAATCACACTGGTTAATATCACTATCACACTGGTTAATATTGCACCTATATTATGGATTATCAGAAAGGTGCATAAAATGCAATATGTGAAAATTCTTTGATAGCTGAATACTTATTTAAAGGTATTATCCACTATATGTAAACAGCTTTCTTTTTCAAGTTGTAGATTTGTATGACATTTGCTATTGCTAGTCTAGGATATTCTATTTCTGATGTAAAAAAAAAAAAAAATCACACTATTTGAAGATCTCTTATGACTGTCACTAAACCAAAGGGCTCAAGTGGCAAGAAAGACACTCCAGAGAGGCAGGCATCCCAGTTTAAGCTAGAATGAGCCTATGACCTAGATTTTTTTTTTCAAACTCTACTCATCCATTTTTTAAAAATCATTTCAATTTACTTATACACCCTTCTAAACCAATTAGAATCAACTGCAAAAAGAAAGACTCTTGTTCCTTGGCATCCTTTCATGGCCACCAAGCTGTTGCTGTCACACACAACACCTGGGAAGTAGTTTCATGAGTTCTCACATTACTGAACAGGAAACCAAGATGATTACGAATCTTTGAAAACATGGAAAGAACTGATAAGGACAGTAAGACAGCCTAATGAATTAAGCTGGCCAAGATGGTTGAAAAGAAAGGCATTTACACCCAACACGGAAGAAAGTTATAACTGACTACTCAAGTACATTTCACGTGTAAAAAAATAAAACCTCAAAAAATCATATTTTAATAAAGTTGCAAATACAATTATTCATACAAGCTTTCAACATATATTATTTCATTCACTCACTTAAATGGCATCCAAAACAGTAGCCAAAAAATAAATAGGTGGAATATAAACATGCATTCTTTGAAGAGCATTAACTTTAAGGCGAATTGCTAAAGTTTCATTTGCTAACTTACTACTTCTATTGGCTCATTAAGTTGATTCAAAGGGTGAACTCCTAAGAGTAAGAATTTTGTAATTTATATTTGCAATCACTGGCCTAGCATACTTCTGGACTTGGAGTAGATGCGCAATCAATCTTACCAAACGAAAGAAAGCCGAGTCCCAAACAAATTCACCTACAATGAATTTTTTAACTCCAAAATTCTCCAAGCTCACTACTTACCTCTGGTATACAAGCTCCTGTGAAACCAAACAAGCCATTTGCATTGTCACTTTTTTGTATTATTAATCTTGCAGTAGTATTTTCTTCAGAAATACAAGCTCCTCCATATACAGAGACTAGTTTAAGAATGAATAATTCTTCTCCTTCCTCATCATTGTCATCTCTCGCAGAAATAATGAATGATTTGTTAGTTTCTCCCTGTCTGAACTCCAGATATCCAGAAACGGGGTGTAAATCACTTTTTGCGGGCATGGCATGAAGTTCATAAATTTCTTCAAGTGTCAGTTTCCGCTCATAGGACCTCACATCCTGCATCAGACCTGTAAATCTGTCATTGCCATTTATCCCTGCTCCAATTCTCAGTATTCCAGGACCTGAAATTAGAGACAAGTGTAAATGCTACAATACCTTCAAGTGTCCTGTCCTAAATTATAAGTGTGATTCAGAAAGTAAGCCAATTTTACTGAAAGATATTCTTGGATAAATAAAACTTTTTCATAACTAGTATACAATAAATTGGATATTATCTTCTATTATGATTTTTAAAAACGAATCCATAATCACTAGGATTTATGATATTTTGTACTAAAAGAATTGGTAACTATCTTCAAATTAGATAATCTCCTTAAAGGTAACTTATATCAGTCTGTCAACATTTCTAGAAAAAAGTATCTGAACATATACATACACACACATACATACACATGTATACATGTATGTGCATGTGTGTATTTAGATATAAATTTATTCTATATTTTAAAATTTACTCTTGCACATTTAAAAATGGACTTAATTTCATCACAATTTTAATTAATTAATTAAGTTATTTATTTATTTACTTCAGAGACAAGATCTTGCTCTTTTACCCAGGCTAGAGTGCAATGGCATGGTAATAGCTCACTGTGACCTCAAACTCCTGGGCTCAAGCAATCCAACCACCTCAGACTAACAAGTAGCAAGGACGTTACTACAGGAGTCCACTGCCATGCCTGGCTAATTTTTTAATTTCTTTTTTTTTTTTTTTAAGAGACAGGGTCTTGCTATGTTGTCCAGGCTGGTCTCACACTCCTGGCCTCAAGCGATCCTCCCAAAGTGCTTAGATGGGAGGATCGCTTGAGGCACGATTACAGGCAAGGGCCACTACACCTAGCCTCATCACAATTTTTAAACTTCAGTATTATACTATTATTTAAGAACTTCAAGGCTTGATATGTTAAGACACTCATTGAGTTAAAAGTTGTGAGAATTCATAAAAAATATTTCTACAGGACAAATACATCTCTCTATCCAAACAACTAATAGAATAGATATAGAAATAGAAATATTTCTTCTCAGAAACATTGTATGTAAGTCTTGGGGACTTTTTAAAATAATAATAACATGCAGCTCAACTGTGTCACTATATCTCAATAACTACCCTTTTCATGTTTCCACTAGTTCTCCTTTCTTTACTTGTTTGTACTCTAATAATTCAACTAAGATATTTATGTAAGATCTTTAGGTAAGATGAGATATTGGCAGAGATTCTGGAAAAAAAAGTACAAACAATATTTCTTGTCAATAACCTCAATGGAGGCTGTTCACAAATCTCCACCCAGATGGCTTTCAGGGTAGTCACAAGTGTCTGGCATGTTACTGTCATGACTGCTCCCATACCGACTACAGAGAACACCTTCCTGCCCAGCAAACCAAAAACATCTGTTCACTGGAGCTCCAGTTTGGATGGGAAATCCTACGATGTTGTCTCTTCTACTGAATTATCTGGCAACTAAAATGATTCAAGTTCCCCTGATTCTCACAAAACCACATCATGGTTCTCACTGTTAGGATACTATCTGGAGTCAAGGATATAGAAATGATCACTTCTTCTTTGGTTTTGTTTCTATGATATGTTAAAAGGAATATTGACCTAGGAGTTAAAGGCTTATTTTCAGGTCTTAGTACCTCTATTACTTGCCTGTGTGATGCTAGCGAATTTATTTACTGACTCTGACCTCTATTTAATATATTGAATTATTATGAAGTACAAATTAGGTAATGTACGGAAAATGCCTTATAAATGTAAAACACTATACAAACTTGAGGATTCTAAGCACTTTGCTTCTATGACTAATTCTCTGGAACAAACGTGATCATTATTGCTCTACTTGTAGTGTTAACTACTAAAGTTACAACGCTAAATCATTGAAAATAAAAGTTATAAAAATGCCAGTATGTTACAGTGGTTCATGGAAGGAATATGGTAGCTTTCACTCTGCATCTTAATGCTATTCTGTACTTCTCAAATTTCATGGAATATACCTGTATTGTTTTGACAATGAAGAAGAAAAATTGTGAAATACGTATATAGTGTGTGTATATGAATATGTTAACAGTATGCTTAATGTTTATAGTGGCTATCTCTGAATGACAGTAAATGATTCTTGTAATGATTGTAAATGATTTTTATTGTAAATGATTTCTATTTTTGTTGTATATGTGTACTTTACAATCTTTCTATATTGAACATAGAATTATTTTTTAAAAAATACACTTTTTTGATACTGTGGGATACCACTACAAACCAAAAGTAAAGATGGAAGAAGCTAAGCATTAATGAAGTGGAACTCTCATACACTAGAGGTAAGTTCGACTAGGTTCGACTTAGGTTCGACTATTTCGGAAAATGGATAGGCATTATCTACTAAAACCGAGTATTTGCACACACTCTCATTCAGCAATTCCATCCCCAGGAATGTGCTCAACAGAAATGCATATGGCAGGCATATGTTCATCAAAAAACATGTATAAGAGTATCCATAGAAGTACTATATGTAATAGACAGAACTGAAAACAACACAAACAGAAATTAAAAGTAGCACTAATAAACAAATTGTGTTACAGTAACGTGAGAGAATTCTATATGGTAATGAGCATGAATATCTACAACCGGCAAAAATATGGATGAACTTCACAAACAATACTGAGCAAAAGAAGCCGGACATTCAAGTGTATATATTGTTCAGCTCTATTTATGTAAATTTAAAAACAGGAAGAGCGAATCTTAAGCTCTTAAAAATGCCAATAGTCAGTAGGAAGGATGGTGAGTTAGCAACTGGAGAAGAGTCAAAGGGGGCTTCTGGAATGCTCTGTTTCTTGGTCTGGAGGCTGATTACATGAGTGCTGAAACTGATTAATTTAAGTTTTAAAAATTTCATTTATCTGTACACTTACAATATGCATACTTTTATATTTTTTATAATATAAAGTACACTACAGTTCAATAACTTTATATATACTTTAAAAATTATCTTTCCAAGTTGCAAATTACAAAAATAACAAGTTCCTTTGCAGTAAGCCAGAGGAAAAAATACCAGCTCCCACTTCCCCCAATCATTTCCGTTCTCATTCCACCACCAGTACCATCACCAAAAGAATCAAAGCTAACAGATACTTGCAGGTATTCACACAGCCAAAAAGTGGATAATACCACAAAGTGCTTGTAAGCAAAATCCATGGGATTGAAATTGGTAGATATGTGCATGTTTCCATTGCCTATCTTTTTCCCCCACTCTGGGAGAAAAAAAAAAAAAAAAAAAAAAAAAAAAAAACCAAATAACTAATGTAAGAGGTTCAGAGAAAAATACTCTATTAAGCTATAGTCATATAAGCTCTACTCTATCTTCCACTAAATATAAAAAGGAACAAAATCATAGGATGGAGGGGCTGAGAGGAAATGGTGACCATAATGCGGATAACCAGTATTTGTGTGCACACACACACAAATGTGCTTCTTCAGGAATCAGCATATGATCTAGTTTAAAGACAACAAAGATTATCTCTTCAAAGCACTCCACAGAATTCACAAAGTTACCTCCTGATAGTATAAATCCATAATCACTTTTCACTGTGATTTTTCTCTCCTGCTTTCTTTTCACATCCACCACCCTCTACCTCCAGCAACACTGAACTAGCAGCAGTTCCCCAGGTACAGCATGCCGTTTCACATTTCTATTTGTTTGCTCATTCCTCTGCCAGGAATATCACTTCCCATCTCTCCTACTACCCACAGAAGGACAAATGTTCGTCTTTCATATTTTTTTCTTTCTTCCTACAAGGTATCATGATATATTACACATCTCTCTGCTAGTGCCTATTCCAGGTTCTTCAAGTGCAAAACTCTGATTCATTTCTGTAACACTCAGGACAGAATTGATCATGATCTTGGTAGGCACACAGTTTTGATTAAATAAATTAAACCAATGCATAAGTAGAGTTTTCAAACATATGTTAGCATTTTTTTAAAAATCTAAATTTTAATGAAAAATTTTGCAAACTTCAAATTTCAGTGTCCTAGTTGTAATGATAACCCTCACCATCAGTAATGGCTTCTCCTTTCAGACTCTTGATTCCCCTGGGCATTGCATTTCCATCCAGGTAGAATTCGATTATGCCATCATCCAGGATAATCAGTAGATGAAGCCACATACTTTCTTCTAAATATTTCATGACTGTTGCCTTGGCAATGTATGTAGCATTGGAACCCAGGGTTTTATAATGAAGGGAAAGTGTCACATGGGATTCATTACTTTGAATTTTTACGCCATAGTAGATGCTTCCATTACCATCATCCTTCGCTATAATGAATCCATTCGTATTGGCATTGGGCATTACCCAAGCTGAGAATGTAAAGCTGGCAATTGTATCATTCCTGAAGGGATGATATTTTGGATTAACAGTCCCAAATGCACCCTCTAGTCCGGTGAAGTACAAAGCATCCGTTCCACTATGGTGACGCCGCATGTGCTGTTGTAAATGCACAGTGGTGGGGAAAATTCCAACCAGTAAAAAATCTATCATTGGTGGCAAACCAGCAGGGAACTCACTGGACAGTATTTCCCAGCCCAGTCGTACATCACCAAATACACCCTGTTGCCTCAAAATGGTGAAGTTGGTAATATAAGACATATCATCTTCAGACAGGACATCTTCTGCCACTTCTCTCTCTAAACACTCTGGATCCAAGATGAAAACCCCAAAAGGATCATCATTGAATGGAATCATTACTGTCACCTGGAGGTTGGTTTCTGCTAGTTGGCCCCCAGGACCTGGGGATCCACCTGTAATAAGAAAATTTATGAGTAAGAAACTAGAATTTCAAGTACTTTCTAGTATAAAGAAAAAAGAATTTGCTTAGCAAACTTCTGGTTAAATAATTTACTGATTATCAATGAATAGTAGTGTCACCATGTGGCTTTCACCACATTTTAGGGGCAGGATATAAAATAATATTGGTTCAGCATAATTTTATTGATAATCAATCAAGCCTGAAAAGAGTATATGAATTAGAAAGGTTTAATTCTGTGCTTAAAACCAAAAGTGATGCGAAAATTGATTGTTTAAATTATGACACAAAGACCAAGCTTTAAGCTATCATGAATCCTTACCTCCCACCTTCCACTAATATCTTGTTGGAGACAGTATAGTTGGTGTGGAGAAAGTCTATTTGCAAGTTTGAGGATGGATGTAGGCCTCCATCCCTAAAACTGAACCAAACTAAGATATCAAAAAAGTGAATGTTAAGAATAACACTTGAATCAAGAAGGGTATTTTAACATTTAAAATCAGATAGTCATGACACAAATACTAAACCAATTGCATTTTGTATATGGCTCTAATTATCTAAGTATAAAATATAAAATTTAGTATAAATAAGACATGGAAATAAAATAAGACACAGAAAAACACAGTACCTGAAATGTTTACAAGTTTTAGAATATAAAATTCATTGAATTCAGGAATTTTATCTGGAAAAGCATGGAGAACGATTGGTTTTGCTTCTTCTCCATCCATGAAGTTAACAGTTCCTGAAGTTACATAGAACTCCTGTCCAGGCTGCAAAGCAGAATCATTCTGAAAGAGCTGCCAAGATACAGAAACACTACCAAAGCATCCTCGGTGCCTCAAAATCTACAACCCTAACAAAAGTGAAATTAAAATGAAAAATGTTTAAGTTAGGCGAATCTTACTCTAAATGAGAGCTTCCTGCGTGTTATCAAGGAAACATATTTTTTACTATCTATCATCTTTAATAAACCAACCAGCTGGTTTCTATGAGGCAAGCTATGAAGAATTTCATGGGAAGAGAAGAATGAGGTACGAACTTTAATAAAAGAGACCAGTCTTAAAAGTCTTGCTTCAAGTCCAAACTTGAAAGATAAGTCAAGCTCCATCCAAAAAAAACTAAATGACAGTTGAAAAAAGGATTTTCCCAAAAGCAAAGTACGAGGTGGCGGGGGTAACTCCACATATCATCTGAAAGAGAAGAGTTTCCTGGAAGATGTTCAATAATTCAAGTTTCTCAGTCTCAAAAAAGGATTGAAATGTTGAAATTAGAGAGGTGGGGAGAATAATCTGCCTTACCCAGCTAAAAGCTAATGTGTTTTTTCTTAAGATAACCGCCAACACATAAAAAACAGTTTAAACTCATGTCAGACTGCCAACTTTGAAATACTCAATTCTTACAAAACCCACTTTTAAAATTTTGAGAAGTTATTCTCAGAAATTTCACATTACTTAATATGTTTTATTTGCTATCCAATTTAAACTTGCCTATCTAAATAAGTGCTACCAAGAATGCACTTAGTCTTTCCTTCTTCCAACTGCTTTGTCTAGGGCTCCAGAGGAAAAAATGCCGTTTGGGTCATCATTAAGCTCACATAAATTACTGTACGCTACCCCAATATTTGGATAATAACTCGGCTGTTATCAACCCTAAAAAATGGAAACCAAAGAACAAAGAAGTACTACACTTGTTATTTAAATTTATGTTTCTTAAATTAAGAAATTTTTACCAATTAAGTTAACTTTTTTTCCATTCCAGCGAGAATTTTTCCTCCAGCTGAAGGTCATACAACACGTAAATGCAAAATACTGCTCCATATCCAAACGAACGTTTATGTACTACACACATATGTAGCAAACAATACTACAAAGACAGACGCGAAATGTCTAATTCAAGATGAACATATTCCTTTTGCTTTTTAGTTTACAGTCAACTATTTCTATTTGAGAAACACCACCATTTCATTCACCAAAGGAATTATAGCTCAATAGCTTAATAGGGAGAATCAAAAAACATAATTTCTTCTAAATTCAAACTTTCCTTAGGTGGATTTATTTATTTTCATTAAAACATTACATACAAGGTAC